AAGTAAACGTAACCGAACTGTGGTCACTATCACCAAAGTGCTCACCTACCTCCAAATCTAACACCTGGCCTGGTTCATTACCCAGTACCAAATCCAATGCGGCCTCGCCTCTTGTTGGCCTATCTACATACTGTGTCAGGAAACCCTCCTGCACACATTGGACAAAAACTGACCCATCTGAAGTACTTGAACTATAGCGTTTCCAGTCAATATTTGGAAAGTTAAAGTCCCCCATAACAACTACCCTGTTACTTTCGCTCCTATCCAGAATCATCTTTGCAATCTTTTCCTCTACATCTCTGGAACTCTTTGGAGTATCTAATAGCCGCTTAAATACCCCTAATGAGGCCGACTCCACTACACTCTCCAGCAATGCATTCTACACCCCGACCACTCTCTGAGTAAAGAACCTACCTCTGACTTCTCCCCGATATCTACCTCCACTCACTTTAAAACTATGCCCCCTCGTAAAAGCTACCTCCACCCGAGGAAAAAGTCTCTGGCTGTCCACTCTATCTATACCTCTGATCATTTTGTACACCTCTATCAAGTCACCTCTCATCCTTCGTCGTTCTAAAGAGAAAAGCCCTAGCTCTCTCAATCTTTCCTCGTAAGACCTTCCCTCCATTCCACTGCACCTGGTAAATCTCCACTGCACCTTTTCCAATGCTTCCACATCTTTCCTGTAATAAGGCAATCAGAACTGGACACAATACTCCAGACGTAGCCGAACCAGGCTTTTGCATAGCTGGAGCATAACTTCATGGGTCTTGAACTCAATCCCTCTATTAATGAAAGCTAACACACCATACGCCTTCTTAACAACTCTATCCACCTGGGTGGCAGCTTTCAGGGAACTGTGAACATGAACCCCAAGATCCCTCTGCTTCTCCACACTGCCAAGAATCTTTCCGTTAACCCTGTATTCTGCTTTCAAGTTTGTCCTTCCAAAATGAATCACCTCACACTTTCCAGGGTTAAACTCCATCTGCCATTTCTCGGCCCAACTCTGCATCCTATCAATGTCCCTTTGTAACCTAGAACAGCCCTCCGCACTGTCCACAACTCGACCCACCTTCGTATAGTCCGCGAACTTACTAATCCACCCTTCCACTCCTTCATTCAAATCATTTACAAAAATCACAAATGGAAGAGGACCCAGAACAGATCCTTGTGGTACACCACTCGGAACTGAGCACCATGTTGAATATTTTCCGTCCACTACCACCCTTCGTCTTCTGAGGATCAGCCAATTCTGAATCCAATCTGCCACATTTCCCCCTATCCCATGCCTCCTTACCTTCTGCATGAGTCTACTATGGGGAACCTTATCAAGCGCCTTACTTAAATCCACGTATACCACATCCACTGCTCTACCTTCATCCACGTGTTTGGTCACTTCTTCAAAGAATTCAATAAGGTTTGTGAGGCATGATCTACCCCTCACAAATCCATGCTGACACTGTACAGAAGTTGGAAATTGGTGTCCCCTTTAAAACTGTGGTCTCTTCCTATTCCACATTAAGAATTGCCCCATAGTATTAAACCCATTTAATTATGTTATAGTAGAAACTGGCCTTCTATCAGCATAAACAAAAGACTTTCTTGCACTGCACTACCTTATTATGAGTGCCATATTTGAGAAAATAAGAAGGTTTTGCTCTTAGAAGGAACGAAAACTATCCTTCATTTGTAAATGATTTGGATGAAGGAGTGGAAGGGTGGATTAGCAAGTTCACGGACGATACGAAGGTGGGTCACGTTGTGGACAGTGCAGAGGGCTGTTCTAGGTTACAAAGGGACATTGATAGAATGCAGAGTTGGGCTGAGAAGTGGCAGATGGAGTTTAACCCTGCAAAGTGTGAGGTGATTCATTTTGGAAGGACAAACTTGAAAGCAGAATACAGGGTTAACGGAAAGATTCTTGGCAGTGTGGAGGAGCAGAGAGATCTTGGGGTTCATGATCACAGTTCCCTGAAAGCTGCCACCCAGATGGATAGAGTTGTTAAGAAGGCGTATGGTGTGTTAGCTTTCATTAATAGAGGGATTGAGTTCAAGAGCCATGAAGTTATGCTCCAGCTATACAAAAGCCTGGTTCGGCCACATCTGGAGTATTGTGTCCAGTTCTGGTTGCCTCATTACAGGAAAGATGTGGAAGCATTAGAAAAGCTGCAGAGATTTACCAGGATCTTGCCTGGAATGGAGAGAAGGTCTTACGTGGAAAGGTTGAGAGAGCAAGGGCTTTTCTCTTTAGAACGACGAAGAATCAGAGGTGACTTGATAGAGGTGTACAAAATGATCAGAGGTGTAGATAGAGTAGACAGCCAGAGACTTTTTCCTCGGGTGGAGGTAGCTTTTACAAGGGGACTTAGTGAAAAGAGATAGATATCGGGGAGACGTCAGAAGTAGGTTCTTTACTCAGAGAGTGGTAGGGCCGTGGAATGCATTGTCGGAGAGGGTAGTGGAGTCGGCCTCATTAGGGGCATTTAAGCGGCTATCAGATAGGCCTATGGATGATAGTATAAGGTAGCGGGTGAAGTTAGATAGACCTTAGGTTTCGGGTAAAAGTTCAGCACAACATCGTGGGCTGAAGGGCCTGTACTGTGCCGTACTATTCTATATTCTATGTGCTAAGTGAAGGTGGACAATGGGCCAATGGTCACCAATTGTCATGAGGAGCTGCTCTGTTGCCAATGGCCGAAAGAATTCAGACAATTGATTGACACGGACTAAGCTACCTGCTCCTAGAAATAGGGGAAATCAACGTGTGCTCAGAGGGCAGTCTTCAGAGAGTTGTCTTCCAGATGGAAGATGGCTCAGAAAAGTAGGAAGATGACCCAGCAAAATGTTTAAGATTGACACATGAAAAGGCAGGGAATTGAGGGATATGGACCACAAGCAGGCAGGTGGCATTAGTTTAGAATAGCATCATGGTCAGTGCAGATATGGTAGTTTTATGTTCTACCTAAGTCCTCAGCTAAAGAGCAGGGTGCTGCTTTCACAACTTTAGTGAAACCAACATGTTCCTCCCCATCTGCCTGCTTGTCCTCTGGTGTCAGTGAACTATCCCCAGTTGTCACAGTTGTGAACTTTAAGTAGAAAACAACTATCACGTCCAAACAACTACTTCTTAAACTCAATAACCTATCAGAAAAACACTACAAATCATAACTGTCATCAGGAATCGCCCTTTAAAATCAACACTGATGGAGAAGCAGCAGTGAAGTAGCACTGGTCAGATGAATGGGTAGTAAGAACAGCAAACTGTCGTGTTGGAGGGGGGCACTGAGGGAATACTACAATGTCAAAACAACAGTATTGAGAGTAACTATATGATGAGGGTCAATATCAATATCAATATCCTCTTCAGTATTTTTAGAGTGTTGCCCTGACTGAAAAGGACTCCTTCCCTTCCCCCATTTCTGAAGAAGGGTCTAGGCCTGAAACGTCGGCCTTCCTGCTCCTCTGATGCTGCTTGGCCTGCTGTGTTCATCCAGCTCTACACCTTGTTATCTTTGAGGAAGAACTGCTTTGTTAGACAGCCACAATTAAGGGAACTCAGCCCTAATGTTGTCAGTATTAAGGGAGAACTGCCCTGAAAGAAAAGTAGCATTGACGGGATATTGCAATATCAAAAGGGCAGTATTGAAGGAAAGCTGCTCTGACAGAGGCAGTTTTTATTTTATTCGGTCATGGCCTGTGGGCATCGCTGGCTGGCTAGCATTTATTGCCTGTCTGTATTTGCCCTTGAGAAGGTGGTGGTGAGCTGCCTTCTTGAACCGCTGCAGTCCACCTGCTGTAGGTTGACCTACAATGCCCTTCGGGAGGGAATTCCAAGATTTTAACCCAGCAACATTAAGGGAATGGCAATATATTTCCAAGTGAGGATGGCGAGAGGCTTGGGGACGGGACTTGCAGGTGGTGGTGTTCCCATATATCTGCTGCCCTTTGTCCTCCTAGATGGAAGTACTCGTGGGTGTGGAAGGTATTGTTTAAAGATCTTTGGTGAATTTCTGCAGTGCATCTTCTAGATAGCACACATGGCTGCTTTTGAGGAACACTGCACTGTTAGAAGTGGAATCTGTCACCTAGGTGTAAAAGATTCCAGGATACTATTTGAAGAAGACTAAAGTAATTCATCTCAGTGTTCAGGCCAGTCTATATTTCTCAATCAACTTCAGTAAAACAGAAGTAGCCTATGCCAGAATGCTGCAGAACCTGGGCCCAGTTCCCCATCTACAGGTTTGGAGAGTTGACAAGTTGGATATAAAATTGGCTTGGCCATAAAAGACAGATGGTAGTTGTGAAGGGATGTTTTTCTGACTGGAGGTCTGTAACCAGTGGCGTTCTGCAAAGATCACTGTTGGTGCCTCTAATGTATATTTATGATTTGGATGAAAATATCAGTGGTCTGATTAGTAAGTTTGCAGATGACACAAAAATTGGTAGAGTTGTGGATAGTCAGGAAGGATTTCAAAGGATCCAGCAGGTCGGCTGGAAAGTTAGGCGGAGAAATCACAGATCGAGTTTAATCCAGACAAATGTGAAGACTCTTAGGAGTATTGTTATACAGAGGGATCTTGGAGTCCATACGTATACCTCCCTAAAGGCGGAAACAAGGGGGACCAGCATTGGCTCGAGTGGGCCCAGCGTTGGCTCGTGTGGGCCAAGTGTGAACTTGAGTGAGCCCAGCAAATGGTACAGGAATTTTTTACTTAATCTCAGTGCTCAACTATTCCATATAGTAGAGATAGTAGGAACTGCAGATGCTGGAGAATCCGAGACAACAAGGTGCAGGGCTGGATGAACACAGCAGGCCAAGCAGCATCATAGGAGCAGAGAAGCTGACGTTTCGGGCCTAGACCCTTCATCTATTCCATATAGTAATTGTCATTGCCTAGAGACTCATCCAGCCCTTCTGTGAAAAATTTGTCGATCAACTGGAAACATTGTCAATGAAACCTTTCGTAGTGTTTCGGCACAAAGCTTTTCACAAGTACCTGTTGGCGTTTCTGGAGTATCCACTGCGTGCCAGTACACCATGATGGAGCCATCTGATTCATACATCTGTAAAGGCATGTGCCATGAGTTTACTAGAAACACTTACACATCCACTGCTTTAACTATTACATTGTAATTGACTGATCCAATACATAAAAACTGCACAATCACTCAACGATGATGAGACTCATGAAGCCTGTTAAATGGTATGGCAGTCCTAAAGACACATCAACAAAAAAGAGAGAACAAACATTTCGGGGCTATATTTAATGTACAAGATGTTTGGTATCCAAGACAACAACCTATGGAATTCTCTGCTACAGAAACCAGCGGATGTCAAAAATATTGAACGTTTCAAAGGAAGAGTCAGATATAGTTCTTGGGGCTAAGGGGATCAAAGGGTATAGGCAGAAAGCAAGAGGAGGGTACTTAGTACGATGATCAGCCATGATCATATTGTAGAATTATACAATACAGGAAAGGCCTTCAGCCCATCAGATTTGCACTGACAAAACTACTGTAAATCTGCACTAGTCCCACTTTCCAGCATTTGGCTCAAGTCACTGAAATGTTATGACATTTCCAATGCTCATGCAAGAACTTTTTCAAAGGTATGAGGTCTCCCATCTCAACTACTCTCCCAGGCAGTGGAATCCAGTTGCCACCACACTCTGGGTGAAAATTTGTTTTCTCAAATCCGCTTTAAACCTCCTGCCCTTCACCTTAAAATTATGCCTCCTTGTTACTTACCTTTCAACTAAGGGGAACAGCTGCTTTCTGTCCACCCTGTCCACACCCCTCAGTGAGGTACTATCTCAGCGTTCTCTGTTCTAAAGAGAACAACCAGAGTTTACAGACAGTGGGAACTGCCGATGCTGAAGCATCGGAGATAACAAGGTGTAGAGCTGGATGAACACAGCAGGCCAAGCAGCATCAGAGGAGCAGGAAAGCTGACGTTTCGGGTCGGGACCCTTCTTCAGAAAAAAAAACCAGAGAGTTTATACAGCTTCTCTGCATAGCTAAATCTGAATGGAACAGCAGGCTTGGATGGACAACTTCTGCTCCTGTTTTCTATGTTTGAAAAGGCTACTCAGTCCCTCCTCATCAAATCACTCTCCTGATCACAACCCATCTCTCTGTCCCAAGATGCACACTATATTTTCTCATCTCATTTTGTCCCATTTAACACACTCACCACCTTTCAATAAATCGTTGTAGTTGGAGATGAGGTGAATAGTTAATTGTTGAAGACTATCAATATTAATACATATACATCACAGATTCACTCCACTGTCAGTCTCAATAGCTTTGATTCCTTTCAATTCCAACTCCAAAAACAAAGAGAATTTAATTCACTTTGACTAATGGTTTCATTTACCAGCTTCTCACGAGGTAATTGCAACAAAAATATTTATACAGTAAATGTCTCAAGGCACTTCAGAGAAACACAACAAAACATGACAGGGAGCCACAAGGAGATATTAGATCAGATGACACGAAACTGGGCAAAGACATAGGTTTTAAGGAGTGTCCTAAGAAAGATAGTAAGCTAGAGGGGTGCAGGAGGGAATTCCAAATGTGGAACTAAGGCATCTGAAGACTCAGCCACCACTGCTGGACAATTAAAATCAAGGATGCACAAACTGTCAGATTGAAAGCAGCACAGCTACCTTGTAGACATCATGTGGCTGGAAGAGATTACAAAGAGACTTGAACAATTAAATGAGATTATGCTGTAGATGTACATATTCAGATTGACTTTAGCCCCACTCCTACCTGAATGCCTTTCTGTGATGCCAGTACGAGGAGAATGCGAGAAGGTAACACACACCATGAAGCCTGGAGGAAGACAAAGGAAAAACGTTCAGTAATAACGTATCCACTTTTATATTCTGACAATGTGGAAGAAATCACAGCTGGCTAAAGGGTTAATATTTCTATTTATTCATTCATGAATGTGGGTTTCACGAGGGGGCCAGCACTTGTTACCCATTCCTAGGTACCCTGGAGAAGGTGGTGGTGCACTGCTGCAGTCCATGCGATACAGTGATATAAAGGGAGGGAGCTCCACGATTTTGATCCAGGGCCAATGCAGGAGTCAGGATAGTGTGGGGTTTGGAATGGAACTTGCAGATGGTGGTGTTCCCTCGTGTTTGCTGCCCTTGTCCTTCTAAATGGTAGATGTCACAGGTACAAAGAACAAAGAACGAAGAAGATTATAGCACAGGAACAGGCCTTTCGGCCCTCCGAGCCTGTGCCAATCTAGATCCTCGATCTAAACCTGTCACCTATTTTCCAAGGATTTGTATCCCTCTGCTCCCTGCCCATTCATGTATCTGTCTAGATACATCTTAAATGATGCTATCGTGCCCGCCTCTACCACCAACATGTTCCACGCACCCACCATCCTCTGCGTAAAGAACTTTCCACACATATCTCCCTTAAACTTTTCCCCTTTCACCTTGAAATCGTGACCCCCTAGTAATTGAGGCCCCCACTCTGGGAAAAAGCTTCTTGCTATCCACACTGTCTATACCTCTCATGATTTTGTAGACCTCAATCAGGTCCCCCCTCAACCTCCGTCTTTCAAACGTAAAGAATCCTAATCTACTCAACCTCTCTTCATAGCTAGCGCCCTCCACACCAGGCAACATCCTGGTGAACCTCCTCTGCACCCTCTCCAAAGCATCCACATCCTTTTGGTAATGTGGATACCAGAACTGTACGCAGTATTCCAAATGTGGTCAAACCAAAGTCCTGTACAACTGTATCATGACCTGCCAACTCTGGTACTCAATATCCCGTCCGATGAATGAAAGCATGCCATATGCCTTCTTGACCACTCTATCGACCTGCGTTGCCACCTTCAGGGTACAATGGACCTGAACCCCCAGATCTCTCTGTGCATCAATTCTCCCCAGGACTTTTCCATTTACCGTATAGTTCGCTCTTGAATTGTATCTTCCAAAATGCATCACCTCGCATTTGCCTGGATTGAACTCCATCTGCCGTTTCTCCGCCCACTCTCCAATCTATCTATATTCTGCTGCATTCTCCAACAGTCCCCTTCACTATCTGCTACTCCACCAATCTTAGTGTCATCTGCAAACTTGCTAATCAGACCATCTATACCTTCCTCCAGATCATTTATGTATATCACAAACAACAGTGGGCCCAACACGGATCCCTGTGGAACACCACTGGTCACAGTTCTCCATGTTGAGAAACTCCCTTCCACTACAACTCTCTGTCTCCTGTTGCCCAGCCAGTTCTCTATCCATCGAGCTAGTACACCCTGGACCCCATACGACTTCACTTCCTCCATTAGCCTACCATGGGGAACCTTATCAAACGCCTTACTGAAGTCCATGTATATGTCATTTACAGCCCTTCCCTCATCTATCAACTTTGTCACTTCCTCAAAGAATTCTATCAAGTTGGTAAGACATGACCTTCCCTGCACAAAACTATGCTGCCTATCACTAATAAGCCCATTTTCTTCCGAATGTAAATAGATCTTATCCCTCAGTATCTTCTCCAGCAGCTTCCCCACCACTGACATCAGGCTCACTGGTCTATAATTACCTGGATTATCCTTGCTACCCTTCTTAAACAAGGGGACAACATTAGCAATTCTCCACTCCTCCGGGACCTCACCCGTGCTCAAGGATGCTGCAAAGATATCTGTTGAGGCCCCAGCTATTTCCTCTCTTGCTTCCCTCAGTAACCTGGGATAGATCCCATCCAGACCTGGGGACTTGTCCACCCTAATGCCTTTTAGAATACCCAACACATCCCCCCTCCTTATGCTGACTTGACCGAGAGTAATCAAACATCTATCCCTAACCTCAACATCCGTCATGTCCCTCTCCTCGGTGAATACTGACGCAAAGTACTCATTAAGAATCTCACTCATTTTCTCTGACTCCTCGCATAACTTCCCTCCTTTGTCCTTGAGTGGGCCAACCCTTTCTCTAGTTACCCTCTTGCTCCTTATGTATGAATAAAAGGCTTTGGGATTTTCCTTATTCCTGTTTGCTAAAGATATTTCATGACCCTTTTCAGCCCTCTTAATTCCTCGTTTCAGATTGGTCCTACTTTCCCGATATTCTTCCAAAGCTTCGTCTGTTTTCAGTCGCCTAGACCTTATGTAGCTTCCTTTTTCCTCTTTGCTAGTCTCACAATTTCACCTGTCTTCCATGATTCCCTAAACTTGCCCTTTCTATCCCTCATTTTCACAGGGGCATTTCTGTCCTGCGCTCTAATCAACCTCTCTTTAAAAGCCTCCCACATATCAAATGTGGATTTACCCTCAAACAGCTGCTCCCAATCCACATTCCCCAGCTCCTGCCGAATTTTGCTATAGTTCCCCCAATTCAGCACTCTTCCTTTAGGACCATTTTTGTCTTTGTCCATCAGTATTCTAAAACTTACGGAATTGTGATCACTATTCCCAAAGTAATCCCCTACTGAAACTTCAACCACCTGGCCGGGCTCATTCCTCAACACCAGGTCCAGTATGGCCCCTTCCCTATTTCAACTACTTACATATTGCTCTCCTGGATGCTCCTTACAAATTCTGCTCCATCTAAACCAGTAACACTAAGTGAATCCCAGGCGATGTTGGGAAAATTAAGATCTCCCATCACCACCACCCTGTTGCTCCTACATCTTTCCATAATCTGTCTACATATTTGTACCTCTATCTCACGCTCGCTGTTGGGAGGCCTGTAGTACAGCCCCAACATTGTTACCGCACCCTTCCTATTTCTGAGCTCTGCCCATATTGCCTCACTGCTCGAGTCCTACATAATGCCCTCCTTCAGCACAGCTGTGATAGAACATAGAACAGTACAGCACAGTACAGGCCCTTCGGCCCATGATGTCGTGCCGAACTTTTACCCTAAACCTTAGGTCTATCTAACCTCCACCGCTACCTTATACTATCATCCATATGCCTATCTGATAGCCGCTTAAATGCCCCTAATGAGGCTGACTCCACTACCCTCTCCGACAATGCATTCCACACCCCTACCACTCTCTGAGTAAAGAACCTACCTCTGACTTCTCCCCGATATCTACCTCCACTCACTTTAAAACTATGTCCCCTCGTAAAAGCTACCTCCACCCAAGGAAAAAGTCTCTGGCTGTCTACTCTACCTATACCTCTGATCATTTTGTACACCTCTATCAAGTCACCTCTCATCCTTCGTCGTTCTAAAGAGAAAAGCCCTTGCTCTCTCAATCTTTCCTCGTAAGACCTTCCCTCCATTCCAGGCAACATCCTGGTAAATCTCCTCTGCACCTTTTCTAACGCTTCCACATCTTTCCTGTAATGAGGCAACCAGAACTGGACACAATACTCCAGATGTGGCCGAACCAGGCTTTTGTATAGCTGGAGCATAACTTCACGGCTCTTGAACTCAATCCGTCTATTAATGAAAGCTAACACACCATACGCCTTCTTAACAACTCTATCCACCTGGGTGGCAGCTCTCAGGGAAATGTGAACATGAACCCCAAGATCTCTCTGCTCCTCCACACTGCCAACAATCTTTCCGTTAACCCTGTATTCTGCTTTCTAGTTTGTCCTTCCAAAATGAATCACCTCACACTTTTCAGAGGTAAACTCCATCTGCCACTTCTCAGCCCAACTCTGCATCCTATCAATGTCCCTTTGTAACCTAGAACAGCCCTCCGCACTGTCCACAACACGACCCACCTTCGTATCGTCCGCGAACTTGCTAATCCACCGTTCCACTCATCCAAATCGTTTACAAAAATCACAAATAGAACAGGACCCAGGACAGATCCTTGTGGTACACCACTCGGAACTGAGCACCACGTTGAATATTTTCCGTCCACTACCACCCTTTGTCTTCTAAGGGTCAGCCAATTCTGAATCCAATCTGCCACATTTCCCCCTTTCCCATGCCTCCTTACCTTCTGCATGAGCCTACCATGGGGAACCTTATCAAACGCCTTACTTAAATCCATCTATACCACATCCACTGCTCTACCTTCATCCAGTGTTTGGTCACCTCTTCAAAGAATTCAATAAGGTTTGTAAGGCATGATCTACCCCTCACAAATCCATGCTGACTATCACGACTCAAACTGTGCCTTTCCAAGTGATCATAAATCCTGTCTCTCAGAGCCCTTTCCAATAATTTGCCCACCACTGACGTAAGACTAACTGGCCTGTAATTTCCGGGGTTATCCCTGTTCCCTTTTTTGAACAAGGGAATAACGTCTGCCTCTTTCCAATCTTCCGGCACTATACCCGTGGACAGTGAGGACGAAAAGATCATCGCCAAAGGCCCTGCGATCTCGTCCCTCGCTTCCCATAGAATCCTTGGATAAATCCCATCAGGCCCGGGGGACTTATCTATCTTCAACTTCCTCAGAGTGATATCATCTTTGACCAGTAATGCAACTCCTCCACCCCTTTTACCTCCCTCTCTATCCCACCTGAAGCATCTATATCCTGGGATATTCAGTTGCCAATCTTGTCCTTCCCTCAACCAAGTCTCAGTAACAGCAATAACATCATACTCCCAGGTACTAATCGAAACCCTAAGTTCGTCTGCCTTACCTACTACACTTCTTGCATTAAAACAAATGCACCTCAGACCACCTGTCCCTTTGCATTCATCATTTGCTCTCTGCCTACTCTTCCCCTTAGTCACACTGAGTTCATTATCTAGCTCCTTGCAGGCTTTAGTTACTACCTCCTTACTGTCCACTAACCTCCTCATTGGTTCCCATCCCCCTGCCACGTTAGTTTAAACCCTCCCCAACAGCATTAGCAAAAGCAGCCCCCAGGACATCGGTTCCATCCTGCCCAGGTGTAGACCATCCGATTTGTAATAGTCTCACCTCCCCCAGAACCGGTCCCAATGTCCCAAAAATCTGAACCCCTCCCTCCTGCACCATCTCTCAAGCCACTCATTTATCCTGCCTATTCTTTCATTTCGACTCTGACTAGCACGTGGCACTGGTAGCAATCCTGAGATTATTACCTCTGAGATCCTACTTTTTAACTTGGCTCCTAACTCCCTAAATTCTGCTTGTAGGACCTCATCCCATTTATTACCTATATAATTGGTGCCTATATGCACCACGACAGCTGGCTGTTCACCCTTCCCCTTCAGAATATCCTGCAGTCGATTTGAGACATCCCTGACCTGTGCACCTGGGAGGCAACACACCATTCGGGAGTCTCATTTTCGACCACAGAACCGCTTATCTACTCCTCTTACAATCAAATCCCCTATGACTATAGCCCTTCCACTCTTTTTCCCGCCCTTCTATACAGCAGAGCCAGCCATGGTGCCATGAACCTGGCTACTGCTGCCTTCCCCTGGTGAGCCATCTCCCCCAACAGTATCCAAAACAGTATACCTGTTTTGGAGGGAGATGACTGCAGGGGACACCTGCACTGCCTTCCTGCTTTTTCTCTGCTTTTTGGTCACCGATTCCCTTTCTCCCTCAGCAATCCTAATCTGCGGTGTGACCAATTTGCTAAACGTGCTATCCATGACTTCCTCAGCATTGCGGATGCTCCAATGTGAGTCCATCCGCAGCTCTGAAGCCGTCATGCGGTCTAACAAGAGCTGCAGCTGGACACACCTCCTGCACGTGTAGGAGCCAGGGACATCACCAGCTCCCACATTGAGCAAGAGGAGCATAACACAGGTCTGGGATCTCATGTCATTTTTACTCCTAAGCTTTACTTAGTCCTACTATAATATCAAATACTAGTCAAATGAAATGAAAAAATTTTTACCAAATCACTCTACTTACCAGCACACGATAAAAATAAAAGAAAATCCTTACCTTATCAACACACAACAGGGTCTTTTTTTTTGGTCAGAGGAGGAGGGCGGGTGGGAGATACTACACGTGTAGTGTCTCGGGTTTAGCCACTGCCCAAATATATCAGTTCATTCACCTTCCCAGAGCGCAATTCGACCACTCTCACTCAGCTCCGCTGCTAAAATGGAGAACTTACCTTCCCGGCAGCCCCCTGGTCCTCGATCTCACCGCACCCGCAAAAATGGAGGCCACTGATTCCAGGAGGTAAGTCGTTTAAATGGAGAACTTACCTTTTCGACAGCTCCCTGGTCCTCGCTCTCACCGCTCCCGCTACTGCTGCAAAAATGGGGCATGGAAAATGGTGTGGAAGATGATGTCGAAGGAGCCTGGGTGTATTGTTGTGGGGCACTATAGATTATTTTCATTCATTCATGGGAATGTGGTGTTACCTGCAAAGCCAGCATTTACTGCCCATCCCTAATTACCCAGAGTGTAGTGAAGAGTCAACCACATTGCTGTAGGTCTGCAGTCAGACCGGGGATGGATAGCAGATTTCCATCCCGAAAGGACAAGATAACAAGGTGTAGAGCTGGATGAACACAGCAAGCCAAGCAGCATCAGAGGAGCAAGAAGGCTGACATTTCGGGCTTAGACCCTTCTTCAGAAATATCTGCCCTGTTAGGATTTCAACCTGGGTCCCCAGAACATTACCTGGGTCTCTGGATTAATGGTTTCACTGCTGCAATCATGGAGATGGGACAGAATATCAAAGATTATGGATTGATGTGAATCAAGTGGGCTCCTTTGTCCTGGAAGATGTTGAGCTTCTTGATTGTTGTTTGCACTGCACCCAATGGAGTGACTGCAGAGCACCCGTCATCCACCTGACTTGTATCTTTTAGAATTTGCAGTTTGTGTATGTCACTGGCAAGATCAGAATTTGCTGTCCATCTTTAACTGCTCTTGAACTGAATGGTTTGCTCGATTAGTAGAGATAGTAAGAACTGCAGATGCTGGAGTCAGAGATAACACAGTGTGGAGCTGGAGGAACACAGCAAGCCAGGTAGCATCAGAGGAGCAGGAAAGTTGACGTTTCAGGTAGGGACCCTTCTTCAGAAATGAGGGGGTGAGCTCAGAAATAAATAGAGAGAGGAGGGGTGGGGCTGGGGAAGGTAAGTGGGATCGTGATAGGTGAGTGCAGGTAGGCAGTGGTGGGGATTGGTCAGTGGGGTGGGAGGAGCAGATGGGTGGGAGAGAAGACGGACAGGTTGTGTCACGTTGTGTCAGGTCAAGGAGGCAGGGATGACAGGGAGGGTGGGTCATGGGATGAGGCCAGGGGTGGGGAGATTTTGAAACTGGTAAAATCCACAGAGACCATCGGGCTGTAGGCTCCCGAGGTGCAATATGAGGTGCTGCTTCTCCAGTTTGCAGGTGGTGTCATTGTGACACTGGAGGAGGCCCACGATGGACATGTCACCCAGGGAGTGGGAGGGGGAGTTGAAATGGTTCACGACCAGAAAGTGTTGTCGTTGTCACGAACAGAGCATAGGTGCTCTACAAAGCGATCTCCAAGCCTCCGCTCGGTATTACCAATGTAGAGGAGGCCACATTGGGTGCAGCGGAAGTAATAGACCACATTGACGGATGTGCAGGTGAACCTCTGTCTAATGTGGAAGGTTTGTTTGGTACCTTGAATGGAGGTGAGGGGGGAGGTGTAGGGGCAGATGTAGCACTTCCTGCGGTTGCACGGAAGGGTGCCGAGACTAGTAGAGAGTGTGGAGCGGACGAAAGAGTCATGGAGAAAATGGTCCCTACAAAAGGCAGATGGGGTGAGGAGGGAAATATATCTTTGGTTGTGGGGTCAGATGGTAGGTGGCAGAAGTGACGGAGAATGATATGTTGGATATGAAGGTTGGTGGGGTGATATGTGACACCCCACACATATCAGGGGAATCAGGAGGTGAGTTACTCACCACAGTATTCCAAGCTTCTGACCTGCTCTTGTAGCCACTGTGTTTATGTGGGGAGTCCAGTTCATTTTGTGGTCACTGGTAACATCTAGGATGTTGATAGTGGGGGATTCAGTGATGTTAACATCATTGAATGTCAAGAGTCAGTGGTTAGATTGTCTGTTATTGGTGATGGTCATAGCCTGGCATTTCTGTGGCGAGAATATTACTTGCTACTTGTCAGCCCAAGCCTGGATATTGTCCAGATCTTGTTGCATTTGAACTTGGACTGCTTCAGGATCTGAGGAGTCATGAACAGTGCTGAACATTGTGCAATCATCAGCGAATGTCCCCACTTCTGACCTAATGATAGAGGGAAGGTGACTGATGAAGCAGAAGATGGTTGGTCTAGGACACCACTAGAGATGTCATGGAGTTGAGAAACTGACCTCCAACAACCACAACCAACTTTCTATGTGCCAAATATGACTCCGTCCAGTAGAGAGTTTGCCCCCGATACCCACTGATTCCAGTTTTGCTAGGGCTCCTTGATGCCACGCTCAGTTGAATGCAGCCTTGTTGTCCAGGGCTGTCACTGTCACTGTCACCTCACCTCTGGAATTCAGCTCTTTTGTCCTTGTTTGAACCAAGGCTGTATGAGGTCAGGAGCTGAGTGGCCCTGTTGGAACTCAAACTGGGTGCCAGTGAGCAAGTTATTGCTGAGCAGGGACTGCTTGATAACATTTTTAATGACGTCTTCCATCAATGTACTGATGATCAACAGTAGGCTGATCAGGCAGTAATTGGTTGAGTTGGATTTGTCCAGCTTTTTATGCACAGGACATACCTGGGTAATTTTCCACTTTGTTGGGTAGATGCCAATGTTGCAATCATGCTGGATCAGCTTGGCTAGAGGAGTGGCAGGTTCTGGAGCACAAATCTTCAGTACTATTGCCGGAATGTTGTCAGGGCCCATAGTCTTTGCAGTATCTGGTGTCTCCAATCGTTTCTTGATATCACATGGAGTGAATCAAAAACTAATATGTGGTCTTAAAACACATAATGGTAGATAAATCCCTGGGACCTGATAAAGTATAATCCAGGACATTGTGGCAAGCTCAGAAAGGAGGGATATCTACTCATCTACAGCCATGGGTGAGGTGCTGGAAGACTGGAGGTTGGCTACTGTTGTGCATTTATTTAAGAAAGGTTAGAAAGAAAAGACAAGGAACTACAGAAATGTCAAATAATCTCATTGTGAAGGAGCTTTGTGGGCAGAGAACTATAATATGATGAAGACGGTTGTTCTTTGTGTGATTTTATATTTGAGGTTTTGACATACAATCCTTTTCTAATCAGCTCATCACAACTTACTCCAAACATTTACACCATCTGCAAGGATTGAAAAAAAGAAATTTCCCTTTGACAAAACTCATGATGGAATCATGTTATAGCCAACACAAGTTCGCATTTTAGAAATAGTACTCCCCTATTCGTCAATTGCGTTATAGCCATTTCGTGTTGCCAGAACATACATTATCGCAGTACCCCCTGCACAGATGGCGAGTCTGATGTCAGTGGTGGGTAAGTTGTTGGAGGGGATGCTGAGAGACAGCAGTTACATGCAAGAGGGAGGCAAGGACTGATTAGGGATAGTCATCATGCTTTTGAGCATTGGAAATCACATCTCACAAATTGATTTCAGTTTTTTTTTTGAGGACATGACCAAGAAGATCGATGAGGGTAGAGCGGTAGACATTGTCTTCATGGATTTTAGCAAGGCTTTTGACACGGTTCTGCATGGTAGACCGGTTAGAGTTCTTTTAGATTTAGATTTAGATTTAGATTTAGATTTTATTGTCATGTGTACTCAAGTACGGAAGTATAGGAGTACACTGAAAAGTGTATAATGGCGCCTTGTCTGGTGACATCTTAGGTACAAAAAACTTCGGTACAAAGTAGTAAAAGAAACAATGTTAAAAGATTTAAGCATTACTTCTAGAAATTAATTAGAAAAATAAGGTAATAGTTAACATTGAAGTCCTTCTTAATGTAAGCTAGAAATATAAAGGAATAAAGTTAAAAGTTCAACAGTTTTTGATGAGTCCTCTGCTTAGTTCACTCTTTGGGAGACCTCTGCTCCCTGTTCTCGGGAAAGCGGGGGACCTCCCTTAGCACTTGCTCTTTGCACACTAGGCCGCGATGCCATCACTGCTGCTGCTGCCGCCCCGATCTCCTCCTGCTGTCTCCGGAACATGCCTTGGCAGGACCCATTCACATGCTGAGAGATCGGACTCAGACACTGCCATGGGCCACAAAGAGACCAGGCCGAGACACCACCAAGCCGGGCTGAGAGACCACCATGGGTCACCAACAGATGGGGCCAAGACAGTGCCACGAGCTGCCAAGAGACTGCCAAGGGCCACGCCAGGCCAGGCCAGGCCAGGCCCGTGCTGAGGACAGGAATGAAGAAAAGAAACAAAAAAAAACACCGAGAGAGAAAAAAAAGAGAAAGAAATGCGAAACGGATGGAGTGGACGAGCTCCGGCTGAAGCCTCCTATTCCACCACCATCTTGGTCATAGACTTGGTTTGTAAAGTTAAATCACATAGGATCCAGGGAGAGCTGGCCAATTGGATACAATATTGGCTTAACAGTAGGAGACAGAGGGTGATGGTAGATGGTTATTTTTCAGACCGGAGGCCTGTGACCAGTGGTGCTCCACACAAGGATCGGTGCTATTTGGATGAGAATGCAGGAAGCATGGTTAGTAAGTGCAAATTACATCAAAATCGGTGGTGTAGTGGGCAGTGAAGTTTATCTAAGAATACAACGGGATCTTGATCAGCTGGGCCAATGGGCTGAGGTGTGGCAAATAGAATTTAATTTATATAAATGCAAGGTATTGCACTTTGGTAAGAAAAACCAGGGCAGGACTTACAGAGTTAATGATAGTGCACAGGGGAGAACTGTCAAGCAGAGAGACTAAGGGGTTCAGGTACATAGTTCCTTGAAAGTAGTGTGACAGGTAGACAAGATGGTGAAGGCGGTGTTTGGCATGCTTACCTTCATCGGTCAGAGCATTCAGTACAGGTGTTGGGATGTCATGTTACGGCTGTACAGGACATTGGTGAGGCTACTTTTGGAGTACCGCATACATTTCTGGTCACCCTGCTATACAACAGATATTATTAAATTGGAAAGGATGCAGAGAAGATTTGCAAGGATGTTACTAGGATTGGATCAGGTTACCTGATGTCGTGTATTTTCTGACCTTGTCCACCCCAGTCCAACACCGGCACCTCCACATCATGACTAGGATTGGAGTGTTTGAATTATAAGGAAAGGCTAGATAGGCTGGGAGTTTTTTCCTGGAGTGTAGGAGGTTGAGGGGTAACCTTACAGAGGTTTATAAAATCACGAGGGATATAGATAAAGTTCACAGCAAAAGTCTTTTCCGCAGGATAGCGGAATTC